GTATTCTGACCACACCCCACGTCCTGGCGACTTCGACCCACTACCACCGTCATTACTGTAGCCTCTACGATATCTATCCCCACGTTGGCGGTGACCTCAACCAGTTTGCTCGTCATTGCCTGGTGCCGTGTCCTTCCCTCCAGATGACCCAGCAGAGTGTGCCGAACTTTCTTTCTATCTCTATCGTTTTAATAGCCCTCCTCACACCAATCACGGTAATCAGGACAACCTGTAGCCACTAGGACACACTCTCCTCATCCGGCGGTTCAGTTCTACAATATGTCATAGTGCATAGTCTCTCACCGCTAGGTCTACTCTACACAGCTGTCAATCACTCTCCACGAACCACCCTGCTGTCAAACACCATGTGCGGATCCTTTGTAGTTCGGTACCCGGAGTGTACCGAACTCCAGGTCTGTTGGTCATAACAAATGCGTGACGATTATTGAATGATAAAAACGTTCGATGCTAATACCAGTTATTACTAAGGAAGAATCGAAGTTGAATATTTGCATAAAATTTGCAGCTCGCGTTATGTTAAGCTTCCCTACAGCCTGGAAAATCCTGAAAGGAGCCTGAATAGAAGCTCCAAGAGAAAAATTGACACTATGTGATTTTATTGGTAAACAAGCTATCATGATGCACAGCTGCAAGATAGAGGCATTGCTTCTGTTGGATACTGTTGATATCAACAACCGAAACAACCTTCCCGAGTACAACAGTCGAGAAAGTGAGGCTATTCAGGCGAGTATGCAAGAGAGGGATCCCAGCCACAACGGTGAAGAGTGCACTACTCACTTTGACAGAGACACCAGTACAAGATACTATTGCGAAGACCAAGGATGTGGTATTTCCGACGCGATAAAGTCGCCTAGTCAGCCATTCCTCTACATGCGCATTTGGTCAATAAATATGGGACTCGCTGCGTGAAGGGTGAGCGTTGGGCGAACATGGTATTTGATAGAACCACGCACAACTATATGTACGCCGACTTCGAAACACCTCAGTACCAGACCAACAGTTGCTGCTCCTCACGCACCCGCTTTCGGTTCTCGAAGGCGGGCTCGGCCCCACAGTACGCAGATATTAATAATCCGTTTGCCCTGGCTTTAAGAATGTGAAGGTGGGCTGTAGTTTACAACGGCGTTCGTTTAGAGTGAATTAGTGCGGCATCCGAATGGACGACCAGAGTATTTACGATGACTCGGGGGCCTGTGGCCTACGAGAAATCTTTACGATGCGTCAATGTTTGATGAGTTTGTGCGTAGTGTGTACTGTGAGCCAAATAGTATGAAGGCAGTCTGAGAAGAGTATGGCTTTTTTCAGTCGAGACACGATCCGTGGACTGATATCGGCCCAAATACGTTCTCTACCCTGGATCATAGATGTCTCAAATATGACTTCACTTTTTTGGCACAGAAATCTCCTAGGTTGTACACCTACCCATTGAGTTCGTCAAATAGTGAGCGGAAAAAAACTTGTCAAGGCTGTCACGCGCTCGTACAGCCGTGAATCGGTGAGTCTGCAGTGGTAGACAAGGGACATTCGCCAAAGAGGATAAATCTGGAGTCTATTAAATGACATGTACCTAGTTATTCGATACTTGCGGCTTACCTCCGCATTGGGGAGGTATGTATGTCACGTCATTCGCAAATACAGATGCGATGTGGAACCCTCATCCCGAGGGGATCTGGGAGTTGCATGGGTATGAGCTCAAGGTGGTGGACGCTACAGAAGTACATATAGCCAAAAAGCATAAACACTACACGATGGTATGCAGAACTTTATTTTTTGCATATGACGAGATTTGGAACGGCAAGAGGTTTATGGTACCATGGATCGGCTATTCAATACATCGGCCCCGTGTGCCAACTTGCAGGAGGTTGTTGATAGAGATCAGGGTAGAGAACGTCGCGAGAAACGAGCAGATTGCGAACTGTGGCCATCTGAGCGCCAATTGGAAGGGTGGCAGAGAGCAATCATGTCCGTAACCATAGCGGTAGCAGCGTTAGACTTGATTTTGCTTCTGTATGCTATAGAAGACACACGAACACTGATGTCAAGGCCGCGGACAAGGGTGAGATCTGCTTAGATGGCCCCGACTCTGAAGCACTAGAGAAGTGCAGCGAACCAATGTGGACTGCGGAGCGGCTACTGGCATAGGTGGCCAGTAGTAATCGTATACTGCTCACCATCTGCCAGATATCAGACTTTGAAACGCGTATATATGTAGCATTAGTGCTGTGTATGGGCGCTGCATGGATATATCATCGTAGGTATAGATATACGACACTTGCCCAACCTTGAGGCACACCCCAAGTTTTCTCGATCTTGAATTGTAACAATTGTATCAAAGTACATTCTTCCTGCAGTTTATTATTTACTGTGTATCTTACTGTGGTAGCTGGTAGTAGTCGTTACTGCAACTATGCTCCAGCAACCCCTCCAAACCTGCCTTCACATCCACTCGACACGAGTCTAAAAATAGCGATTTCTCCTCCGGTGACTGTTTCTCCTGCTTGAGTTGAGCCAGAGACCATTTGGCCGCCCCTTTCCATTCGTCCAGTACGGGATCTTGTGCCACATTTACTTTGAACTCCGATCTGAAGGTGTTGTGAGAGAGGATGGGGGAAAACATAGTGGTATGTGGGTTACGGATAATCGAATTACAGGGCTAGTTGGGAGCAGTGAATGGCAAAACCGGATTGTATGCAAGGTACCTATAATTGAATCAGATGGCTGGAGTGTGTAGACCATCTAGCGCGAGTAGATGTGCAAGCGGACACGTGTGAGCAAGGTGATATTCGACCATACTAATAGCTTGAATCCCAATTGAAATATTAAATCCCAATCAAATTGGCTTGAATCCGAATTCAATCGGCTTAAATCCAAACTAAATCAGCTTGGATTCCAATTGAAGGGGGTTGTACCCCAAATAAATTGAGTTAAATTCGGTTCCAATCATATTAATCGATCACAAATAGTGAGTTGGCCACACACATTAGTCCAGAGTGCTTCAGACTTCGATTCGTCTCGATAAGATCAACATATTAGTATGACGACATTAAACCCTCCCCAGACGATAGATGGGATCATATCCACTTTTTCGTCTTCAATATAAACCCGACAAACTTACACCGGAAACCCTAAACCCCAAATCATGAAGTCCGAACCCTCTAGAAAAACCCTGAATCAGCTAGATTTGATTGATTCTTAGTATAAGTATGTCTGCATCATCGCACATAGTAGTACACGCTGTATATCCTTTAAACCATAAATCCTAAACCCCTAAGCAAACACACGTATAGAACATACTTGAAGGGCAATATACAACGCATCTCCGACTCTATCCTGTCTTCGAGGCCAGGTAGTAGGGCACCTCCGCCGGTGATGTGGATATTCTTGACCATCTTCGCCCGAATATCAGCGGGATAGTAGTTTAGCACCCACTCGACCTGAAAGTATAAACATATCCTTAGTATGCTTGGTAGATCCTTATTAGAGTGGTTGTAGTATGTAT